CAACCAAGACTCGGCTACCCCCTGGTGGCTGCCGACCTTACTGCAGGCAAAGTGCCTGAGTTAGATGGTGAGTCAGAGCAGTGGAGGTCACGGTCAAGGTGTTGAAGAAAGCAGGACCAGACCAGGGAGAGGAGGAAGAAAGGAAAGCTACACCACAGGTGAAGGTAAAGGCTGAGTTCCCATCTCCTGTTTTCCTAGTGAGCCTCATATACCGAGCCCCAAAGTGCTGAGTGGATAAGCGGGGGTCCTTGTCAGGACAGAGCTCTGCAGGCGAAGGGTGAAGGTGAGGCAAAGAGAACCAAGAGGCTTAGCAGAGGGCTGGGAGCAGTGCTCCCAGGACAGCCATCTGCGGGGGTGGAACGTCCACCTTGTGCCAGCCCCAGCCATGGCGCCTGCTGGGGACACGCAATGGCGTCCTAGGATGAGGAATTGGGTTTTGCGCTTACTAGCTTATAATTAACTTTAATGTAAATAGTCAGAGGTGGCAAGGAGTCACCACGTTGAACAGAGCAGGATTAGAGAAATAATGAAGGTTTATTCTTCAAGTCAATCATTAAGTTTAACAAGAAGCTATGCAGTAAAACACTGAACAAGTGGGCACTGTTTGGTTTTTGGTTTGGTTTTGTTCTAAGTAAGAAAAAAGGAAAAGAAGCCAGAGTCCCTCACCTCCAATGGTGGGAAGCTGGCAACCCAACGGGGAATACTGGATTCTAGGGGGAAACCCTCACACACTCTGGGGAAGAATCCCTGATCCCCAGCTCGCCGGCTTAACTTAGGCCACTGCCTTCTACACGTGACTTTAATAACGGGATTGCTCCCAATGCAACCGTTCTGGAGAGGGGATCCCCGGGGCAGGAATGAAGCCTTATTTTCAAGTTCTGAGGCCAGTGGAAAACAAGGTCGGTTTACCAGGCCTGAGACTTGGGCAGGCAGAAGAGACCTCAGATGTGGTTCAAGTTCCAAGGGGGACTAAGGGGTCTGGAAACCTCATGGTCTTGATCCATTGGTTTCACTATGGTTTTTTGGTTTTTTTTGTGTGAGAGAAGGTGTTTTACTTAATAAATGCATTTCCAGAGCATTATTTTTAAAAAGGTAACAGAGATTTCCAAGTCTGGCCTCCACGAGACCTGGGGGCTCCGTTTCCCTGGGGGTGTAATTACAGGCTAGGAAACAGCTAAGGTCAGGAAGGAGGCAGGCAGAGACCGGACACTTGGAAGGTGCTGGAGAAGGGTGTGCGCAGGGAGGACACAGAAAAGGTACAACACTTCCAGGGACAGGGGTTCCACCGAGGGAAAACTTGGGGTGGGCTGAGGGGTCACAGGCCTGAGGAGTAGTTTCCCGTGTGTAATTTTTTTGTTTTATCATTTCCAGTTCTAATGTGATATTAACAATAACAACAACTTATATTTGTACAATGATATGGTTTTAAAAAAAACACTTCACGGTGATGCAAACAAAACCCCTGCGGAACATTCTTTTTTTTTCTTTTTTTTAAATGGAAGGGTTCAGGGCTCAACGTTATAAGGGGGAAAAGTTTAACTGGGAGCATAGCCAAAAGACCTTTATCTTTCCAGGTAAGCAGGTAAGTTTCCTCAGAGGCAACCATCAAAGGATGCAAAAAAGAGTCACCTGGTTCCAGCTCTTTTTAATCCCTTCAAACCAAGAACTTTTCGCTTACCTCACACCTCTCCTGCATCCGTGTGGCTAAATATAGTCGGTATTTAGAGTGAGAACTGATTTGTGAGTTGAGAGTGCTTTCTGGAAAGACAGGCAGGGTCAAAGAGATGTAAAATGGTGACCATCAACCCCTGTTTGCTTGGGACAGGGCGATTTATACCTATTGTCCAGCATCATTCTTACAGCTCCCCTTCCACTCTCAGATGTGTCCTGGTTTGGACAATAGATTACATGGTCATTCTAGCCATGGGTGACTAGGCAGGCTGTCTTTTTAAAAAAATACATTTTTATTGATTTCACAGAGGAAGGCCGAGGGAGAGAGAGATACAGGCATCAATGATGAAAGACATTCATTGATTGGCTGTCTTCTGCATGCCCACTACTGGGGCTTGAGCCGAAACCCAGGCACGTGCCCTGACCGAGAGTCAACCGCGACCTCCTGGTTCACAGGTCCATGCTCAACCACTGACTGCTGTGACTTCCCCTGGGGGAATCAGCAGGGTCCTTCCTGCTTGGCTTTCTCATTCTCAAGGTAAATGCTTCTAAGGAGCTAAGTGTGCATCCAGAAATGTTAAAGAGGTTAACGGTTTTAACCTGAGTCACCTGTGCATTTATGGTTCTGGATGGGGCCTCAAGCAGTGACCCATACAGAGCTGGCTGTTTAAAAACTCATCTGGGGAAGTTGTTAAAAATAGAGATTTATGCCAAAACCGGTTTGGCTCAGTGGATAGAGCATCGGCCTGCAGACTGAAGGGTCCCAGGTTCAATTCCGGTCAAGGGCATGTACCTTGGTTGTGGGCACATCCCCAGTGGGGGTGTGCAGGAGGCAGCTGATTGATGTTTCTAACTCTCTATCCCTCTCCCTTCCTCTCTGTAAAAAAATCAATAAAAATATATATATATTTAAAAATAGAGATTTATGAGTCAACTGCCTGAGATTCAGATTCAGCATATCTGAGAACCTATTAAAAAATGAAAAATAAAGCTTCCCAGGTGGTATGGACAGGAAAGCTGAATCCCACCCCTTAATGAGTCTTTGTCCTCTGACCCCTGCTTGGAGTGATCCATTCTTGCTATGGAAACCACTGATGTGCCTCTCAACCAAATGGGCGTTTAATTCTTTTTTTAGTAAAAAAAAATAAGAGTAAACTGTTTCAAAAATAGAGGGCACTATTTTTGGAAGAGATTTGTCTCTTCTCTCAAGACATATTTAGAGACAAAAAGCAAAGTCTCCCAAAGGCAGAAAGCTCTCTCCTGAAGCCCCAATCTGCAGGAAGCAGGCATCCCTCCCTCCATTAGTCCATCTGGAAAGAACTAGGAGAAGTTACTTCCTGAGACAAGTTACCGACTGTCTGGAGCTTCCTGCACATTATTTATCAGCAGGTGTCTGGCAGGAGGCCCGGGCTCAGGGCTTCCCGAGGAGGTCAGAGTAGCCGGCGGTGACGGGCCATGATGGTATCAAGACACTGGCAGCTCCACTGGAGGCAGACCTGGGGAAGGATGGCCCTACAGAATCTCCACCAGAAGAAAATGTATGCACAGTGGCTGAGTGGACAGGTGGCCCGTACTGAGCCACCTGATGAATGTACCACATCTATGCTCCGAGCTGGGGGAGGAGCAGTAACACATCCTCCTTCAGGCTTCTGAAGCAGAGGAGGTGGGGCAGAGAGAAGAGCCGAAGGAAGGTTTCTGTAGCGGTATGTTGTAAAGTTGGCCTGATGAATTCAAAATTCAGTAATTCTGAGTTCTCTTTTCTTTCAGCTCAAAAATGAAAGTGGAAAATGGTTGCCTCGCAAACAGAAAGATCTTGGAATTCTTTTTAAATCCTGATACATCTCCTTGGGACAGCAAAGCGGGACGTTCCCTCCAAAGTACTCACGGGGCCCCATCACCCGGCAGCAGCTTCTGCACCGAGGTGGGCGAGGCCCGCGGGTACCGGTGGGACCAAGTTCTGTCTCAGAGGAGCCGATCCCCTGACATGGGAACCATCCCCTTTGGTCCTCCTTCTCCCCCAGCCTTTGTGTGCAGAACTCCCTACTCAGGTGGAAGGTGCTTTTCAAACAGACACTCAGTCCCGGGTGCTGAGTCTTTCTCCCAGAATAGTTGCTAACGGGCTTCACTCCGAACCAGGACACAGACAATCCCGCTCAGTCTGCTGACCCAGCTGGCTTTTGGCCACTCCGTCACACCTTCCTCTCAAAGCCCCTAGAGCACCAAGATCTGCCCTCATCGCCCTCTTCCAAACCCCCCCCCCCATTTAAAAAAAAATACTTTATTTTTCACAGAGAGAAAGAGAGGAATAGAGTTAGAAACATCGATGAGAGAGAATCATCGATCAGCTGCCTCTTGCACACCTCCTACTGGGGATGTGCCTGCAACCAAGGTAGTACATGCCCTTGACCGGAATCGAACCTGGGACCTTTCAGTATGCAGGCTGATGCTCTATCCGCTGAGCCAAACCGGTTTCAGCTCTTCCAAACCCTTTCGCAGCTCTACTTCCTTCTGCCAGGAGCCCCCACATCGCCACCCAGGACTAGCTTCCTTTTGCTAGTACAGCTCACATCCCCACACATGGATTTGGGGTGGGGGACAGTCACCAGGAAAACTAGGACCACCTGCTGTACTTATTCTGAGAGCAAACATCTACCACCTTCATTTCTCAGGGCCGAACACGTGACGAGGAACTGACGCAACAACTGGGAGAAAGTGATGTGAGAAGGAGCTAGGAAGGAACAGAGAGGAACTGCGAACAGAACAGGCTGGATGGAAAAGAGGGAAGTAAAGCTTACACCTCAACAGTCCACAGACCAGTGTTTATTTCAAACCTCCCCTTCTCGTTGCTGCTGTTACACAGATGCTCGCCCTCCAGTCTGAGCCGCTCAGCTTCCGCTGGGGCTGCTGGGCCCTGAGTGTGGAGCCCATCGCTCAGGGAGCCTCCGCCTGTCCAGCTTGTGTTAGGTGACTCTCCCAGTGCACCCTGGGAAGCTGCAGAGAAGCTCTCCCTCCCTTCCCTCCTCTATTTCACCGAGGCTGGAGCTCCAAGAAATTTAGAGGGCACTGACCTGGGACCCTCAGAGGAGCTTCAGGATCTCTGGGGGCCTCTTAACATTGTGTACGTTGTATATGTGTGTGCGAGTGCCAGCAATTTTCTGGGGGCAAGGTTCACCATTTTTTTCTATTAGGTTTTCAAGGGACCCGCCAAAAGGATAAGGAACCACTGCCTGGTCCTCAGCTTGTCCTGTGCAGGTGGCACAGGTGCGAGCAGGGCCAGCTGGAGGGATGGAGACGCTCGAGCGGCGGGAGGTCAGGGCCCAGCACGGTACCTTGGAGGCAGCCATCACCGCCGCTGTGGCCGCCACGTTCAAGCCTCGCTTCCCGAAGTGCACAAGCGCGTCGTAACTCCGGTCTTTCGCTTGGACCAGGCAATCATCGATTTCCTGTCAAAGGAAAGACAGAGACACACTGAGCGGGAGGGTTCCGACGGACCTCTGTTCTTTCTCCCTTCTCCTGAGGCCTGGGCTTGGCGCCTTGCCCAGTCACGATTCTCCCCGGGACTGAAGTCACCGGCACCTTGGGCGTGTGTGTGAGTAAATATAAGGGGGTTGGGGGAGAGACAGAGGAGGTGCAGGGGAGTGGAAAAGGGAATTTTGAAACAGCCACTCACTGAGCCACGGAAGGACCCTGGGGTGCAGAGAATGAAGTGTCTAACCACAGACCTGCCGCTAGTGGGCTGTCACACCCTGGCAAGTATGTAGCCTCTACAGTCTAGGGGTGTCGAACTCAATCAGAGAAGGGGCCAAAATCTAAAATCCAGCCTAAATCGCGGGCCGAATGGTTTACCGAACAGTCATAAACTGTCATTGTGATGGAAACGCAGCGGAGTGCAGTGATGACAGCGCGGTGCGGGCCACATTGCAAGGCCTGGCGGGACGGATTTGGCCCGCGGGCCTTGTGTTTGACACATGTGCTCTACACAGTTCTGACTTCTGAACAGCGGGGGCAGCGATAGCACCTAACTTCTAACTCGGGGAGCACAGTCAGGGTTGCATGAGGTCATCCCCGTGAAGCGTCTGACACAGGGCGGTTCCGTCAGCGCGGACACGGAGGCCTTCCTTACCTCGGGCGCGGGGCCTCTGCAGCTCTAAAATCCTGGGACTGTGTGGCCATTCCATACTATATCCTTACAGCTCCCCACGTGTTTATCGTCGGGAGGGATAGGACACAGAAAGGGACAGGTGTGATTTCTGTTGATAAGGCAGGTGTCATTTTGCAGGTAATGAAATAAAGGCAGAAATCAGAAGTCGCCTCAGCATCATACCCAAAGGTAAAGGTAAGGTGGGACAGAGGACGAGGTTGCCTTTGTGACTAAAACAAAGTAAAATACTGATTTCGTCCCCATTGGAATCAACTCTGGCTTATTCCTTCCAGTTGTGTGTCTGTTTGCGGTTGTTCTGTTTAATCTCTAGCTCATTTCAGAGTCCAGTGAGAGAGGGACAGTGGCCTCAGTCTCCTTTCCTGTTCAGCACATTCAAGTATGTCCTCGGCTCGGAGGTGCATCTGGGCAGCCAACCCCTGCTCCTTCCTTGTTTGGCTTCCCCAGGAAGTCACCACAGTAGGTTTTCCTGTGACCTGACTGCCTGGAAGTGATTCTGGGCAGTTCTTAGGAGTCAGCCGCCTTCACCTCAATGGAAATCACAGTGGCAGCTTCAGGAGGGGACAGCCTCCAGGAAAAGGAAGGCAGAAGAGGGATTGGATAACCAGGTCAAGAGAGGGCTGGCCATTCCTCAACATCCAGCCTGTGAGGCAAGAAGTGCCGTGTCATCGATTCTAGAGGGATGCTCAGAGATGTCTACAGTAGCCTGCTCACCCCACTGACATGTTCCCCAAAGCCTCCCCTAGAAGTCCAAAGAATTCCACTTTCATAATAATACAGGTTAACACAGAAAGCCACCCACAGTGCTCCTGTTTCATGCTAAAGAAGCCTATCACATAGTCAGTTTAGAACATCACATAGTAAAAGTAATGAATTATACAATTTGGAACCAATAATGTCACTCTTGGGAATTTATTATAACTTAAAAAAAAAAAGTCAAAAGAAGAACTAAACTCTACCCATGGTAATGTTCACTTGGTCATGATGAAGACCAAGTGAAAATGAATTATAGTAAATGCAAAAACATGTTTACAATCTCAGAATGCAAATAACATGCCTGTGTTATCTTTTTGTTTGGTTTTTGAGGGTTTTTTTTTTTTTGTGCACTTAAAATTTTATTTTAAAGAAAGGTATACATAAAAAAGAAGTTATCAAACAAGTTGGCAAGACAAATCAATGTTTATTTTAATGGACTTTGCATTCATTATGATATAAAATGTTAAAGAAACAATAGAATAATCCATTGAAAGCAAATTTGGCAAATTAGGTTCAGTAGAGATGTTGAACAAAAAGTAATTTTATAAATAGTGACATTATTTTATAAGTAGCCCACAATTAAGTTACTTTTCAAAAAATATGTTGTAATTCTTTAATTTTTGGTTGTTATTGTTAATCCTCATCTGAGTGTATTTTTTCCATTGATTTTTAGAGAGAGTGGAAAGGAGGGGGAGAGACAGGGAGAGAAACATCAGTGTGAGAGAGACACATCGACTGGTTGCCTTCTGCACTCATCCTGACCAGGGTTAGGGATCAAACCTATTTTTCCCCATCTCTGACACTAAAAAAATTTTACATTTTAAAAAATATATATATTTTATTGATTTTTTACAGAGAGGAAGGGAGAGAGATAGAGAGCTAGAAATGGTGATGAGAGAGAAACATCGACCAGCTGCCTCCTGCACACCCCCCACCAGAGACGTGCCCACAACCAATGTACATGCCCTTGACCGGAATCGAACCCGGGAACCTTCAGTCCGCAGACCGACGCTCTACCACTGAGCCAAACCGGTTTCGGCTATATTTTTATTTTAAAGATGTTTGTAAAGTACTTTGAAGCAAAACAAACACAACAGGTAAAGATCATGAAACAAATTATGACGATTGTCCTCATGAATACTTACTAATGGATAATTACCAAAATAACAGGTATTTCATTGATAGCATACATTTCATCATTGAATAAAGCAAACATTGTACTAGAAAGTTTTATATTCCAGTCTCTATTAGAAGCTACCTGGGTAACTACCTGGATACAAGTCAAAGTTTTTTAACCTCTCAATGCTTCTGTTTTCCTCCCTATGTTAAGTTTTAAAAGTAATTTTAATGGTTTTTGTGAAAACCATGTCTGGCCCTAGCCGGTTTGGCTCAGTGGATAGAGCGTCAGCTTGGGGAACGAAAGGTCCCGGGTTTGATTCTGGTCAAGGGCACATACATTGGTTGCAGGCTCCTCACTGGCCCAGGCCCTCCAGGCTCATGCAGGAGGCAATCAATCAATGTGTTTCTCTCACATTGATATTTCTGTCTTTCCCTCTCTCTTCCACTCTCTCTAAATCAATGGAAAAATATCCTCAGGTGAGGATTAAAAAACAAACAAACAAACAAACAAACAAACAAAAATCATGACTGCGAAAGCCTAAGCATGATAAAGGAAGGAAATTCAGTTTGGGGAGTGGAATTATGAGTGAATCTTTTATGTCTTTTGTTTCAATTTATGAAAATGTTTTACAATAGATAATGACAAACAATATCTTTCTGAGAACTTCACAACTATTTCTAAACATGTCAAAAAACCAGACTTTAAAAAAAAGACCAGATGGAACAACTTGTTAGGGATAAATAAAAGCCAGTCAAGGGTCTTCTGCGATAAAATAATCTGCCCTTTTTACTTATCACTTTTCAGAGTTTTCACTCGCCGGAGGGAGTGAAAGGCAGAGCAGCATGAATTACCTTTTCTTTTGAAGACAGCGTGGGATGGACAAACTTCCTGTACAGGAGGCTGGAGCCTTTTGTGTAGGGAGATAGCAGCCAGGCTACAAAGGCTATTTTTAGTTCATAATAGAATGGAAACCTGGAGAGAAATGAGAAATACACATTCCATTAGGTCCTTGGCAATGCTGCCCTGGGCCGGGGAAGGGCCGGACCCGGCACAGACACCTGTCCTGCCTACACGGGGCTGCAGGGCCCAGCTCCCTTCGTTCCCCACCCATGAAAGTGTGCGCACACACGCACACCCAGCTCGAGCCCACGGCCTCTTCTGACAGCTGACTGGTGCTTTCTTTTGCTGCCAAAGCAAGCCAGGTCCCAGGTTCTCTCAGCAAATCCCACACCATTCCTGGCAACAGCTGGCACCCCTGCCTGGCTGCGCTCATTTCTGTCGGAGCGGGCGCTCCAGCCCCAGCCTGCAGGCTCAGGCCACACGGCTGCCACTCACCCAGACACTGCCACTGGCAGCCAGGAAGGCACACGCTCCTGCAGGATACACAGCAGGGCCGAGCCCACAAAGAATCTTTTAGGAGACTATAAGCTTCCCCTCCGTGGCAGTCTTCTCAGCCCCAAAAGAGGGAGGAAAGGGAGCCTAAGTCTTGTCAGGAAAGAGGGTGCTACTCACCCTACTCCAGTCAAGGGCAGGCAAACAGAGCTTATGTTTTTGGTGCCCAAAGAAAGAAGTGCTCAGTGCACAGGTAACATACAATTCTGGAGTCTGAATCCTGCATACCATTCATTTATTCACCCCATAGCAGACAGGATTTCCATTTAGCAAGACTGAGATACCGATGTCCCTGGGAAAGAGTTCATAGGACAAACACAACCGCCCTCCCACCCCCACCCGATGCTCCCGAGAAGGAGCAGGGAGACAGCAGGAGGCCAGCCAGCGCCAGAAGAGAACATGGTTAGGAGGGGAAAGTCCCAGGTCTTGGAGTACTCACCAACAAAGGAAGATGTCGGTGAATGTCTCTGCTGTGGTGAAAAGTGCGAATATAATCCAGTACATCATCCATTTGACCTGTTGAACGAAAAAGTAACAAAGCTAGCAGAGAAGGTCAAGGGTGAATGGCTGGCTGCCCGACATGGAGAAGGAAAGGCCCAGACGCTGGGGCATGTCCCGGCAGTGCTGCTGCATTTCTAGCCCACCCCCCCTACTTTCCCAAGCTCATGTCTAGTTCCACTGCTGCAAACCTTGGGGCTGGAGGCAAACGGGCTGTCTCCACAACTGACCCAGGCTCAAGGTCAATGTGGACCCTTGGTGACCTTCACTAGCCCTCAGGTGAGCCAGGGAGGCCTGCGGACCAGGAGTGACTCAGGATTCACTCAGGTTATTTTCCCAAGTAACTCTCCAGGCCTTCACAGAGACACACCCGGAAATGAACTGTAGCAAGGCCAGTCCCTCTGGGATGGAGTGGTGATAATCCTCACTGGCCACCAAAGACTCTCTCTCTCCTGTGAGAAACCCCTCACCCCTAACCCTTACAGAAACTGGATCTTTTTTTTTTTTTTTTTTTAATATATTTTATTGATTTTTCTTACAGAGAAGAAGGGAGAGAGATAGAGAGCTAGAAATGTCGATGAGAGAGAAACATCGACCAGCTGCCTCTTGCACACCCTCTACTGGGAATGTGCCCGCAGCCAATGTACATGCCCTTGACCGGAATCGAAACTGGGACCTTTCAGTCTGCAGACAGACGCTCTACCGCTGAGCCAAACCAGTTTCGGCAGAAACTGGATCTTTTTAAAAGTCTCTCCCAGGTGAGCATCCATACCACTTCCACTGCCTCTCTCCCCGAGTTGTGGTAGTGGTCCCCTCTCTCCCATTTCCCTTGTCTCTTGGCTTTCCCCTCACCATCCCATCCTACAAACCAGCAGTCACCAATCGGTGGTCGGTGAGGTCCGGAAGGTTGGTGACTGCTGCTACAAACCACCCCATCCTAATCTTCCAAAAGCAATAACTCATCAGACTAATACCATCTTTTGCTTGGTGTCTCTGCCTCTGCCTCCTTCCCAATTTGTCCTCCATATTCTAGTCAGAATGATCTTGTTAAATCCAAACTTGATGTTTCTCCTTCCAAGCTTTTAAAGTCTTCAATACAGTAGCCCCTTACTGTTGTTAAGATAAATCGCAAATTCCTTAAGATGTTATCAATGTCCTTGTATGAACTGGATCCTAATTACCTCCAGAGAAAGCCCTCCCTCTCACCCAAACTTCCTTGAATTTTTCACTCGTTATAATGAACCTGAACCAAGTGTGTCTTCCTTTGCCTCCATATTTCAGCCCTCAGATCTCAGCCTAAATGTCATTTCCTCTAGGAAGTGTCCAAAGTTGGGGTAAGTATACTTTCCTTTCTCTCTCTCACAGTGTCATACAGGCTCCGGTTATAACACTGAACATTCTGCTTTGAAAGCACCTGCTTATTGCTATGCTTTTCTTACTAGATTACAAGCTCCCTGAGAGTGAAGGCCGATCATTTTTGCACACCACTGTAGCTCTAGTACCCAAAACAGTTCCTGCCACATAGTATGTGCTCAGTGAATATGTTCTGAATGACTGGATTAGGAGATTGGCATTGTTAATGGGAAAGAAAGGATGGTTTAAAAAAGACTGAGAAGGAATATACTTTGGGAAATACTGGTCTACGTGGCTTTTTGAGAAGAAAATAGAGAATCAGGATGCTTTCAAGGTAACAGGTGCTCCCCATGAGTACCTGCTGAATAGATGGTGGGTATACATGGGAGGAAAGGGGCCTGTAGAAGTCGGGGCATGGTGTGACATGGAGCCACTCACACCAGCAAGAAAGTAAACCAAGCGTCAATTTAGGGAGAAGAGGCTGAGCTCCACGAACCTGAGGGCAGTCTGAGGGCCCAGGAGACATCTGAGAAGAATGCCCAATAGCCGAGACCGGTTCGGCTCAATGGATAGAGCGTCGGCTTGGGGATCGAAGGGTCCCGGGTTCGATTCCGGTCGGGGGCATGTACCTTGGTTGCGGGCATATCCCCAGTGGGGGGTGTGCAAGAGGCGGCTGATTGATGACTCTCTCTCATCAATGTTTCTGGCTCTCTCTCTCTCTCCTTTCCTCTCTGTACAAAATCAATAGAATATATTAAAAAAAGAAAAAAAAGAATGCCCATTAGGCCTCCAGAAAGACAAGACCGAATCTCAGGAGGGAGAGTGGGGCTATGGCCAAAGATGAAGGAGGCATGGGGGAGAGGGGACCTGAAGTGTTAGCCTAAAGAAGTTTCCACCATGAACCCCTTCACTTTAAAATGCTTTCATGCGGAAAAGACAGTCCGAGAATGATTCACTGAGCCTCAAAAGGAAAATGGAATGCTGGTGGGCTCAGGGATGGAAACCATAAATAAATTACTAGGAAATGTTTTCCCCCATCAAACCACGGAGTAACCAAATGATGGCTATTTTTTCCAAGGTACGAAAGAGAAGTTGCCAGGTTTGCGGGATTCTATCCAAAATTCCCTGTAAGATGTGGAGAGCATGGGCAGTACGGTGTCCAGAACAGAGATGGAGTGATGGCCAATTGGAGAGGAGATGACCAGGAGCAACTCTGGGATGGATAGTTGACAGCAGGGTTAGGGAGTCCCTCCGGACTGATCAGGGGCAGGACCCAGCAGTGAGGACCCTGGAGAAGGTGTGAGCCAAGGTCACAGCCGGAGGGTGGGAAGCAGAGTCTAGAGACCTTCCATGAGCCACAGATATGGGCAGAGATACCAGGACCCATGACACCAAGCTCCAGGGCTCCTGGCAGCCTGTGCAGACTCCATTGGCTGTGCAGGCAGCAGGCTTAGCCACCTCTGTAGCCTCATCTCACCTTTGGACCCTCCTCTACATCAGTCACCCTATTTCTTGAGTATTTCACACTCCCTCTTGCATCTGGACCCTGCTTCAGCCTCCCAGGGAATCCCCTCTGCCTAATGACCGGGAGAGCAACCATTTGAGCCTGGTTCACAGCTGACTCGGCACCATCTGCTGGCAGGAGCTCACCGTGGGCAGCTGCACAGCCGAGGTTGTCCTGAGAGAATGAGGAAGTGCAATTCCCTCACAGGCAGCACTCTGAGCAGTGCACGTAGCCGGAAGGAGAAAGGTCCTGAGGTACTGCACCTACACTGCCACCAGGTGTACTAACTATTTTCTTATTTTCTGTATTCTTGATGCTTGGCATCTGAGGCCTTGCTGGCTGGGGAGAGACTTCCATTCCTCGGACCAGACAATTCTTAGAAAAAGACTTGCCCCAGCATGGACTTTCCATATGCAAACTGGCCAGTCCAGAGCCCATAGATTGGGCCAATGTTTCCCAGCCCTAATAACCCCAGGCCAGGCACCAAGGCAACTAGGGCAGCCTTCACACCCCACACCCCACACCCCACAGCCTGCTGAACTTATTTCAACTGGCCAACCTAAACCTGATACCCTGTCCTGCCCGACTTCCCTGCAGAAACCAGTAGAGGTTGTGGCCCACCTGCCCGCCTCTTCCTGACTCCTGACCAATCCCGGTGCTGCTCCCTGTGGCCCTTGGTGGTGTGCTGGGCCTCCCACTTTTAAGGAGCTGTGAGTAATAACGTCTTTCTTCATGACAGTCATTTCTGTGTCTGCATGCCTTACCGTACCTGATTAAAGCAAATCCCAAGTACATTTTCAAGTACAAGGTAAGGATTTGGCAATACCATGAGGTATGTGGAAGGATGGCTGAGACTGGTACTGGGCCAGGATCACATTTTGGAATGATGTAGATGGATCCCCAGATTGCAGACATTTGTTAAAAGCCCGTGCCTGACCAGCACCATCGGAACATGGAGGAGCTCGATAGAAATACAGTCGCAGGCCCCACCTGAGACCCTATGGATCAGAGTCTGTATTTTAATGAAATCCTCTGTTCATTCATACGTTAAAGTTTGAGGTTCACTGGTTTCACTACAAAGTAGCAAGAAGCTAGGAACGTTCCAGCGCGGGAGGAATAGGGAAACTGAGACAAGAAAATTAAACAAGGCCACGCGGTACGGACAGCTTGCAGCTGGCTGGTGAATAACAAGCCCTTATCTTCCCCCAACCAAAGACACTTGAGAGCAAATGGTTAGAAGCCTCTCTGAGTAGAGAATGCAGGAAAGGAGAGGGGAAGGGAGAGGGAAAGAGTCGTTTATTTCACTCCCTACACAGGAAAGCCATCAGTCTTGAGGCTTGGCAAGATAACATTGCCAGGTGCTCCTCACAAATTCTGGGAAAGCCACAACAAAGTGCAAGGGGGACCTTGAAAACTAATCTGTACCCAAGATATGCAGCAGAGAGTTTTTAAAATCTGTAGACAGAAACATATAAGGCAGAAATCTCCACCCCACTCGCTCCTCAGATTAGCCGAGAACGCCCATCCGAACTTTTTGCTGGATGACCTCTTGCCTTGTTCCTGTAATAAATTTAATAAATTCACTTTAACACAACACAGTTATCTGGAGTCACTTGTTTGGGTTCATTTATATGAGCAGATAAGAACTGAGATGGGGACAGCCGCTCTGACTTAGGGGGCTGTCGGATAACATAACTCTCTGTGTGTGAGAGGTGCCTGTAACAGTCTGACTCACACAACCTTTCTGCTTCTCAACCCTGACCTTCTGAGCTGTATTTTTAAAATAATTTTAGTGCCTGGAGGATAGGTGCTTCTGGCGGGGATACAACTGGTTCCAATGAAATAGAAGCAGAGATTAGACCTGACCACTTCAGGCCCACCGTGCCACTAGGAAGTGGGTAATAAAGGACTTAGGGGCTTCAATGGGGGACTGATCCTGATGATCAAGGGAACCAGGGTTGTTGCTACACATTGTGGCAAGGGGAGGAAGTTAAGGGTCCTCAAGGGATCTCCTACCACAGTCTCATTCTGAGGTAAAAGTCAATGACTCACAGAGGCAGGATTACTAAGGCCTCATATTCCTCAGGAATGAAGATTCAGGCCACACCTCGGATAAGGGACCTCAAGCTCTCACCGAACCAATCCTGACTGAAGGCAAAGGGCACATGATGGTGGAAGAAAGAAGCAATAGGACAAAATGCCGGATGTGCATGGAACTACAGGTGCCCAGAGCATCCTTCTGAATTATCCTGGTTCTCCATGTGTCATGTTTTTCAATGTCTTTTGAGCTATTTTAAACTTTGATTTCCCCATTTTCCCAAGAATTAAGTTGAATATTTTTTAAAAAATTCATTTCACCATTCCTGATTGGTTATGTGTCTGCTCTTTGGGATCTCCTTTGATGTATTTTTAGCACCTTACTGGTTCCCTCATTAATCAATGAGCTATGTAAAACTTTTGCAGGTGTTAATTTTATATTTGTACAAGAGCCATGATTTTACCCTTTAAAGATTATCTTTTAACAAGAGACACAAATACAAGTTATGAACTTATGATCATTTGCATGACTAAGGACTGTAGGTTCTGCCAATATTTTCTTCATTTTTTTGTTATGTATAGATTTAAATATTTTAACAAATCTTATTTTTATTTATTCTCCTTCTCCTCCTAATAGAGTATATGGGAGGTTCACTTGAGAATTCAATTTTTTAGAGTGCTGAATTTTAAGGTTAGATCCTATCGGAGCCAGAGGGATAGAAGTACTGGACCTGCAGCTGGACTTGGCTGAAGAAATTTGGATTTAACAAGTAAGTGAGTTGCACAGAATTCTTGTTGGACGGTTTTTTAAAAGCCAAAACCTGGGTAAAAGAGTAGATGTCAATGTTGGGCAGCCAAACAAGTAACTGTAATGGGTATACATATATTTTATATATATAAAATACTGTCATGTTATATTCTGTATTTTAATTTTATTAAACATTATAAATTTTATTAAATATAATGATATATAATATATTAAAAAACATATGTTTATTACCAGTATCCCAAGCCTTCTAATATTGAGATAGTCTTTTGGGGTGGCAAGGCCTATTATCTAGGCTTGGGGAAAAATCAAATGCCCCATCCGGGATTTTGAATCTTCACCGACTGTTCCAAAGGCACAAGCAGCCGGAAGCCAGTGTCCACGGTGACAATGCTGGCAGCAGCTTCCTAACCAGAACTTTCCTGTGGCATGAGCTCATCTGTCACCAGGTTTCTGGGATCCTCCCCAATTTCTGAGTGTCTTCCCACCAGCCTTCTAGTTAGTTCTAGGAATTCCCATAAGTTCCTTTCTGTTTAAGTGCAGTGCATTTAGAAAGACGTAAGAAACTATGAATGTTGAGAGTAGTGTTTCTCAAACTGAGGATCTATAAAAAGTCGGATTTTAATTCCGGAAGTCTGGGCAGGATGCGAGAGTCTTTGTTTGTAACAAGCTCCCAGGTGATGTTGCTCATTCTAGTCCACAGGCCACACTGAGTATGGGCCAGAGAGCACTCAATGCTTGTAGAGAAGGGGCTGGGGAGTAGGGAGGAGCAAGACAGAGTTCAAGCCTGTATAAAGGGTCTGCACTTGATCTTGCAGGCGAGAAGCAGTCATTCAAGGATCCCGGGGGAGTGAAATGAGTATTTCCACTGTTAAAAGGCTTCTAGAAGTTATATGGAGTCTATATTATAGACAACAGAGTGTGAGATGAGGGACAGGAGGCAGGAGAACCAATTAGGAAGTGTAGTAGGCAAAATACCAGCCCCTGCCCGCCCCCAAATGATGTCCTCATCCTGGTCTCCAGAACCCATGAAAATGTCTACGGCAAATGGGCCTTTGCAGTCTTGAAGCTAAGAACTTCCAGATGGGAAGATCATCCCGTACTTATCAGGTGGCCCACTGTGACAATGAGTACTTCAAGGCGGAGACCCTGGCCCAGCGTTGGCCACAGGGAGATGTGACAGAGACGTGACGATGGAAGAATGTTCAGGGATGAAACACTGATGACTTAAAAGAGGGAGAAAGAGGCTCCAGCCCGGGAATGCAGGTGGCCGGCCTTCAGGGACTGAAAAAGGCAAGGAAGTGGATTCTCCCCTAGGGCCTTGCCTTGGTAAGCCCCTAAATTCATGGCAATGTGTTACAGCAGCAATGAAAACTAGCAGGGGAGGCTATTGCAACATTCCAGGGAGGAAACCATGACAACCTCGCTTAAGAGAAGGAGAGGCCTGGTCTGAAAGATCATTAGGGGACAAAGGACATGGTTGCCAAATGGTTGTGTGCATCGCTGGGTGGTGAAGGAGAGGCAGGGATGCAAGGAAAGTCCCAGGTCTCCCTTGGACAAATGCCATGGTCAAAAGGAAAAGAGAAGGGAGTGTACACGTGTGAGTGTGCCAGTCTCCCTAATACTAGTCAGCTCCTTTCTTCCAATTCCATTTTCACCAAGAAACCGTCTCATCTTGACTCGCAAGCTTTCCTTTCAGGAAACACACGTGTTCACCAGCCAACACACACAGCTGCTCTGCTTGTCAGTTATGTTTCACTCTGAATTTATGAATTGCCCTTCTAGTTACAAAACAGGCTCGCCCCTGTGAGATTGGTCAGAGCAAAACAATTTACCAGGCTTTGATCTCTCCCAGAAGAGCTGCCAGAGCCCAGTTCCTGCCCCTGCAAAGCCGATCAGGCCTTGAACCACGGTGACCCCGCTTTGTCTCCTCACCTGGCACAGCTGCCCTGAGCCCTGGGCTGGAAGGGAGACCTAGAGAGGCTGCCTCATGCTTCACCCCTGTGCCAGGTCAACAGAGACTCAGGAGGCTCTGCGCTTACAACTTAGCAGCTCTTTACAGCTCACCCTCTGAGGCCTCCCGTCTCTGGGGAGAACCCAGCCCTGTTGGACCCCCGGCTTAATAGCAAAGGCAAGCCGAGGCGAGCAGTTCTAGGAAACCGAGAGGGAGGGAGGTAAATGCAGTTGACTTGGAGAGGGCTGGTTTCATCATAAAGATGTCCTGGGAAATCTTGGAAAGGAAATGATGATGTTTCCAACCCTCTCTGAGTTATTTCTCTACCTGCCAGACTCGCCAAGGGGCACTCTGAGTCAAAGAGGGAGAGGGAAGACCCTCTGTCCCTCACGACACTGGGTGTCAGGGCTGTTGCTCTTCACCCCACAGCTCAGGTGGAGAAAGTAGGGTCTTGGAAGCCAGCTTCTCGCCCCCCATTGCATCAAGCAAACGCCAGAGCCAGGACTTGACTTCAGGCTCCTGATGACAAAATCCACATCCTTGAACTTTGACCTGGGTGACCTTCCTTCCCTCAACCCGGCCCCTGCAGGTCTTTGTCAATCAGGGGTGGTCTGGTGGTTCTGTCTAGAGTGCCCAGCACATCTAGGGCCGTGACCATGGCTCCCCAGTCACTCAATAATAATAATACATCCTCCAAGCCCAGGAGCTACTTTGCAGGTGCTCAGCCCCGTGCTAGGTGCTGTGGGATAAAAGCTGCAGAATAATGAACAACTCCTGCCCTCTAAAAGCTTATAAAGCAAGTAGAGGCCTGATGCACAAAGATTCGTGCAAGAATGGGCCTTCCTTCCCCTGGCTGCTGTCACCACCTTTGTTCCTGCCGGAGCCGCCTTTATGCCTTCCCACACTGCCCAGAGGCCTGGAGCAGCTGGGGCGGTGTGGAATGCCTGCCTCATCGCCATAGCAATGACGCAGTGTCCCGGTCACTCAGCCTGTGCATGCAAATTAGCCCACCATCTTTTGGGTTAATTGGCATACCCGCTCCTGATTGGCTGGTGGGCATCATGAAGGTATGATCAATTTACATCTTACTCTTTTATTTGTGTAGATAGGGCTTACATCCTGGGGCATCTGAATCACAGGACAGAGTCCCAGACCCAGGAGCTGAGCCAGGTCAGCTGCTCCCAGAACCCTTGTTCCTGCCCCAGGGTTCCCAATAACACTGTATTCTGGTCACAGTGTTTTCCAGACAAAGAAACGGAGGCTCCTCGAGGTGAAATCACTCATCCCAGGCCACACAATGGCACATGGAGGACTGGGGACCTCGGTTCCTCTCGCTGTACCTCCCTGCATTCCCCATTTCTGCACGCTAGTTCTAAAGAGGAAGTGTTGACGGGAGAGGATCCCTGGACCACAGCACATAAGTCTCATGAGGAGAGCGATGAAGGGACTCCTCTGCCTGCTGCCAGTGCCCACAGCAGAGAGCGCCCACCTCCTCCCACCAGTTCACTCCCCAAAGTGCTACTCACATATTCTTTAATGTCCTTTGACTTCACGGCCTTGTAGGAATAATATGCAGGGTAAAGGGTGCCAAATATAAGCCTGGAGGGAAGAGAGAGAAAAGGAGAAATGTGATTTTCATTCATGATGGGAAATGTCTGTCTTCAATGGGAGCAAAGTTCTCAGCTACAGAAAGTGCTGCTGTGGGCCTGACTTATTGATTCCGAATGCCCTGAAGTCCGCTCCTGGCTGGGATGTGCTTAGGAACCTCCTGTTACAACCTACAAGGCTGATTTGGGGTCATGGAAGCCAAAAATGGGGTGGGGTGGGAAGCCAACAGTAAGACCCCTGAAATGAAAGGTCAACCGTTGCTCTCCTGCTGCCAACCCCCGAGATGCTCTATGAGCCTGTCGCAGGCACGGTGGGCTTCCTTCCCCACTGAAGCCCGTTCACTAAAAGCTCCCTCTAATTTCACGCCTCTCCTGCTTGATTTCAGCATCCTGCGGCAGGAGTCAGCTTTCCAATTGTAAATCCACTGAAGCCATGCCACACGCATTCCCACCCGCATTGACCTGCTTCTCGCTGCTCTTAAGACGAAGAAGCAAAAATAACATCAGCGTGACTGCTGGGCAGCAGCTCTCACAGCAGCTCTCTGCCCGCATGCAGGGCTGCACCAAAGGGCTGCACCGGTCATTAAGGAATCTGACTCTCAGCCCTGCCTCTGAGGGCCTGCCTGGCAGAGCCCCACCCGACCTCATTCTCTTCACCTCCCTCCTCTCCCTCCCCCCACAAGCCTTTGCCTGGGCTGTGGTCTCCTTCTGGAATCTCCTTCCCCTTCTGTGTCTGGTTCCCATGCCTGTTCACCAGATCCCAGCTCCATCATGAGTTGGTCACAGAAGCCTTTCTTCACCTCCAGCTGGTCAGTCCTCCCCACCCTCTCCTACCACCACCCGTCTCCCCCTTCACAATCAGTGTGCGTCTGATCAGGATGCTCTTTCACTAGTGTTTGGGTGATGCTTTGATGGACAGGATCTCCCCATTGGAGTGTGTTCAGGAGACAGAGTGGAGTGTTTTATTTTAACTACGTATTTCTAGCACCTGCCACATAGTAGGTTACAAGGGATATTTTTAAATGTATGGCCTGACAGCATGTTGGCGCTGAAAGAGTTTATTCCTTTCACCTGACAGATAAGGTCACCCAGGTGTCAGTTCAAGGGCAAACTGAGTGGGCACAGGAGGGGCACTGCCTCCCCACCCCATGGGAGCCAGCATCTCCTGTGAGCACCCACAGACAGAGCTTCCAGGGCCCCTGCGAGGAGGCTCCTCATTTGGGCACCCCAAAGCCCTGGCTCCCTCCTCAGTGTTTAGCGGTCGTACAGGAAAGTCGGAGTCCAGAGGCACTTTACCGCGGAGTGGTCAGCGTCCCCACAGCAGCACACTGACATCCTCCTGCCTCGGCTGCCAGGGAAACCCGGGTACCTGAACAGAGTCCGTTTCTGAGATGCTGACAGGGAAAGGGTTTGTGCACCCTTGCCTCCCGCAGGCCTGGTCCTACGTGAACACGGGCATCGCCTCAGTCCTCAGGCCTCTTAGAGGAATCGCTTTCGCGGACGGGACACCAGCGCACAGAGCAGTCCCATGACTGTCACAGAGTAAAGCCTCTGAAGACTGGTTGATGTCGGCTGGGGCCCTGGCCAGGGCGGCCTCCCCCCAGCCTGGCCTCAGACTAGCACTGTCCTCTGGCTTGGAGAGCAAGGCCAGCCTCTGTGAGGGCTGGGATTGTGTGTGGGGAGCAAGATAAGCCCGCAGAGGGGACAACGAGTGTCTGGAGGGGAGGAGGAAATGTAGGGACTCAGGTGGGAGGGAAGAAATTTAAGGCAGAGAGCAAAGGCACAGGCATGCTGAGGGGGGCATGGCCTGGGGAAGTCCAGGAATGAGCCAGCTTGGTGGGGAGGACTCCCAGGCCGTCCCGTCCCGGCGCCACCCCCCTCCCCCGTCTCTCCCCGAGCATTCTCAGATACCAGAGTCTGCTTCCCTCCCTGAGGCCCTTCCTGACCTCATCACCCCCTGAAGATCAGGTTCCTCTCTGCCCCTGCATGCAGCCTCATCCCTCTTCCTTCGCCCCGATGCACACACGTGCGGTGGTTTATTCCGTGTCTCTCTGCCACCTTATATGCCCCACAGAGCCAAGGCTGGCATCTGTCTCATTCATAACCGCGCCCAGGGCCCGGCGAGGGCTCGGTGAGGACCCGGTGTTCTCTGTCTGGTGAAGGAAAGGGCGGAGCCATCCAGGGCACATCCATGACGTCGGGACTGAGCTCTGGACGGCAAGGGGATGCCAGGTGGCAACGGCTGACTCAGCAGAGCCTCAGGCAACGCGCCACTGGCTCCGCTGGCGCAGACGCCCTGGGTTAGCCAGGTCTGCCAGGAGGGTTCCGGCCGCTGCCCTGGGGCAGTGTGGGACTGGCAGAAGAGAGACAAGAGCAAACTCAACCGCGGCTCCTGCTCCTCTGTGAGCTCCCACGAGCAGCCACACCTCCGGGCACAGAACTGGGACCCTCAGAGGAGCGCGGACGGGAGGCCTGTGCTCTGTCTGCTGGGCTCCTGATGGGAAGTGGTGGCTAGTGTCCCCCCACCTGACAGCGTGGGGACAGCAAGACAAATATGCTTTTTCAGTCCCTAAAATCTCAATAGCCCTGGCAGGTAGAGGAGTAGTACACTTGGCGTTTCACTGCCCAGGGAAGGCAGGATGGATTAAAATGCTGAGCACTTCTAAATCTACTTTGGAGACAAGAAGTAACAAATGAAGCAGGTCCAAGCCCAAAGCGGTTGGGATCTATGTCTATGCAGACCAAGTGCCCCTGCAACTCCCCACTCCGCACCCCCGCACGGCCACCCCAGCCCTCCCTCGGCCTCCGGATCTCACGGGCAGCAGCTGTCCCCACACTGAGCCATGCTCATCACTCACAGCTGTGACTTCCCGCCTCTTCCCACAGCCTCACAACTGTTTTTCCTGACAAAGTCCCTCTAATCCTTTAAGATCCATCGCAAAAAAGCCACTTCTGGGAGTCTTTGATCACTTGTCCCTCAGAATTTTCTTGATATTATTTAAGTCCCTTATGCTGTCATATTAATCAGACACTTAAAATGATGATATCGGCCAAAATCGGTTTGGCTCAGTGGATAGAGCGTCGGTCTGCGGACTGAAAGGTCCCAGGTTCGATTCTGATCAAGGGCATGGTTGTGGGCACATCCCCAGTAGGGGGTGTGCAAGAGGCAGCTGATCGATGATTCTCTCTCATCGATGTTTCTAACTCTCTATCCCTCTCTCTTCCTCTCTGTAAAAAATCAATAAAATATATATTAAAAAAATAAAATTAAAAAAAATAAAATTAAATGATACCGATATCGCTGAGAACTACTGAAGCCAGGCTCTGCTCTACAGGCTGTATTCATGCCTCACTTAACCCTCAACGCCCACATGGGATAGAATTCCACTCCATTTTATTTTATTTTTTTGTTTTGTTGTTTTTTAATCTTTATTGTTGAAAGTATCACATATGTCCTCTTTCCCCCCCACTGATCCCCTCCCCACCCAGGCCTTCACCACCTTATTGTCTGTGTCCATGGGTTATGCATTTATGCATACAAGGTCTTTGGTTGATTATCTTTCACCCTCCCTTGCCTTCCCTCTGAGATGCCACACTCTGTTCCGTGCTTTCATGTCTCTGGATCCACTCAGCTCACCAAGTCTACTCCATGTTACAGACAAGGGCACGAAGGCCCCAGAGACCACAGCCAGGAGCGGAGCGGGGATGTGGACCTGGGCAGCCTGACAGCAGGGCCTGTCTGTCCTCCTGCGTTAGCTGTGCTGGCTGACTCAGTGTCCCCACCAAACCACGCAGTCCTAGGTGATCAGGGGGGTCTCTAGTGCCTGGCACAGCCCCTGCTGAAGTGGCTACTTGAAAAAATGCCTGTTGAAGTGACTAAAGAACAAAGAATTGAAATGTCTCTCTGGGGAACTTAACCCACTTGATAGATTCACAAAACTCTCTCTACAAGGTCAAGAGGAAAGCGGTAAAGTACTTAGGAGGATCTACAGCTACTGAAGTGCTCACGGCCAGCCCCAGCAGAGGGGGTGGGGAGGGGAAGGCGTGTGTGCCTCCAGAGAGGAGGCTGGGCTCTGTGCGGACACACACCCTCCCAGTGACCGGTGACGGAGCCTTGCACTGCACCTCACAGCCTCAGAGCTCTGCACACCCGCCCTTCTCCACGGCCACTGTCTGTGACCTTGAAGCCTGCCAGCCTAACTTACTGGCCCCCTTTCTTTATCCGCCTGTCACGTTTCTCCTATGTTTGCCCCCTCCTGCTTCTTCTTCCTCCAAGTGAGGGGCCTTCAACATGCTTGCTTCAGAATGAAAACAATATGCATTCTTCCCATCTGAGCGCGCCACAAGGCCATGATCACAGCGGGCGATGGGAAGAATTGTCTTTGTTGGGGGATGTCCAGGAAGCCAAGATCAAAAGTGAAAGCTGCCAAAACCGGTTTGGCTCAGTGGATAGAGCGTCAGTCTGCAGACTGAAAGGTCCCAGGTTTGATTCCGGTCAAGGGCATGTACCTTGGTTGCGGGCAAATCCCCAGTAGGGGGTATGCAAGAGGCAGCTGATTGATGTTTCTCTCTCATCAATGTTTCTAACTCTCTATCCCTCTCTCTTCCTCTCTATAAAAAAATCAATAAAATATATATTTTTAAAAAAGAATCCCTAAAATGCAGCCATTTTAAGGCTGTGAAATAACAAGATTAGAAATTAAAGAAGAAAAAAAAAAGTGAAAACTTCACAGTTTGACCAAACAAAGAGTTAGCATCCCATAGTAACTGGTGCCAATGGTTGCTCTCACCGGGTGCTGGGCACAGCTTTAGGTGCTTTACCTGCATTTTGCATGTACAGAAACTCTAGGATGTGGGCATGACTATCATCTCCATTTCACAGAAGCAAATAAAAGCCAGAGAATGTAAAATAACCGGGCTCAGGTCACACAGCAAGTCCAAGGCAAGGCTGGGCAAGAACGTGAGGTTTCACAGTGTGGGCGCTAAATCAGT